GAATAATAGATTGTTTTGGTTATATCTATATCGTTATCTTGTTTATAAGTATTGGAAGTTTGATGGCTGAGCTTTGAAATTTTGCTATTTACTGTCTTCTTGTAGGATTTCGTCTATTATCTTCATTTCTTCTGGAGTTACCGTTGCTGTCTGATTTTTTTTGGATAATTTTGTCTGCCGCGTAAAGGGGTTGATGGATTTGAACTTTGGTGAAGCTCTAGGGCTCGATCGGTTAGAAGTTCTTCTAGATCGGATAAAGAACTGGGATGATTGATCATAGATCATCGTTGTCCTTTTTCAGAGTTTATTATTTCTTTTATGTTTTTATCTATACTACTTGAGTGTGAATTTCTTGTATCTACATGTGTGTTATATTTGTCTTTTATACAACTTCGTAGTTATATTCTTCAAACTTTAATCTTCATATAGCAACCTTTGAGTTTAGATTTATGAGTGAAAATAGCCATTGTAGTGGTCGATAGTCGGAACAATTGTTGAAATTTCGTCCAAAAGGTTGCGATTTTTGCAAAATTCTGTATAAATTTTCTCCTGAAAGCCTCGAATTTTTTATCTGTTTTTTATATTGGATAGTCTATAATAGCTCTAATCTTAGTTGGGTTTGGTTTTATTCCTATGCAGGTTACGGTATGGCCAAAAAATTTATTTCTTTCTTAAGAAATTAACATTTGTCAACTTGTATTTTAAATCTTGTTTTTTGTAATCGCTTGAAATCTTCTTGAGATTTACCATATAATATGCTCCTAAAGAGAGGTTGAGAATACAATAATTTAGTCCATGTAAAGTAGGCACATTTCTTCTATAAGTCCTTTTAGTACATTCTTTATTACTCTTTGGAATGTTGTGGGTGCATTTTTGAGTCCAAATGGCATTCTCAGGCATTCGTAGTGGCTGTTCTTAACGGTAATTGTAGTCTTATGTATATCTTCTTCTGCTATTTAAATTAAATGAAATCCACTGACTATATCAAGGGTGGAAAATATTGCCAGCGTTCTAGTTTGTCCAGAATATCTGTTATATTTGGAAATGGATATCGGTCATCGATGGTTTTCTCGTTTACCTTCGTGTAGTCAATAACTATTTGCCATTTAATTTTTCTGAGCCACCTGCTTTCTGGGTACAACCTAGATTGGGGGTAACCAGGTTGATTGACTTGGTCCGATGATTCCTTGATCAAGCATCGAAGTGATCTACTTACGTATTTCTTCCTTATCTATGTGTGGATACGAACATAACTTAAGAGTATGTTGACCTGGATTGAAATAACGATAAGAAAAGTTCCCCTTATCCTGTAAACTTTACTTACGAATGACTAGATTTTAATAGACTGAGCTGGATTGAGACAATTTGCTCCCGATTTGCATTTGAACGTATGTAGTTCTTCAGTACAAATTAGTATTTTTTTATTTTCCTACATTTGACTCAATGCTTTAATTTTTTTTACTTAATTGTAGATTTCCGGCTCCTGCAGAGCATTTTATCAAGAACAGTTTTCTTGTAACATGTAAGATAAGCTTTCTCACCATTTCTGAAAAATTTGCCTATGAGAAATGAACAATACAAACATATGGGAGCAGCACTTGAAAAGAAATTTAAAGCAAATACACTTCGAAAGATGTTTAAACTCGACAGATGTTTATTATCGTATGTTTAGGTAATGTTAAATCGATGTTTTGCATCTTCTAATTAAAATTTCCTTTTAATTAATCTACGTTAACTGTTCTTGGTGATTATGAACAAATTATAGCAGGATTTTACTAAGGGGTGAATGGTTAAAGTTTTGGCAATTCCGTTTCAGTTTACCTTTGAAACAGAATAGGTACGTAATTATCGCAGGGTTGAGAAAGGCATGTTGTCGTAATCTAGCGAAGTCACAGAAATAAGGAAACAAGAATCGTTCGAAATGTTCTCTGTCCCAATAATTGTTTTTCCTGACAACGGATAGTAACAGTTGGTTTAAGTATGGCGTGTTTAAGACGAAATTTACAGGTGTGATTACTGTAGAAATGAGCCTTAAGAATTGAAATAGGAATAAATTTTAAAAGAAAAAAAGTTTAAAGTTAAGGGCCGGATAGCTTAAAACGTAGAATGTCTGATTATAACATCTGGATAGTTTTAGAATATCTAAATGCCCTAGGTTGACTTTTATTTATTTTATGCACAATAGGCCGTTAAGGCCTAGGGCATTTTTTTACAACATAATCATTACACTAACTAATTACAATTATTTTAAACAAAACTTTAACTTAATATTATATATATATATATATATATATATATATATATATTATATATATATATATATATATATATATATATATATATATTCTTAACAACTCTGAAGAACCTGGTGTACAATATTTCTCCATTCGCTTCTATTTTGTGCTTTTCTTTTCCAGTCCCTCACCTTCACGTGTTTAAGGTCTTCCTCCGCTTTACTAATCCACCTCGTTCTGGGCCTACCTCTTCTTTTGGGGCTGATTAATTTTCTGATTATTACTAGTTTATGCCTTCTGTTTGCTGCCATTCTTTCCACATGTCTCAACCATCTTTGTACCTTAACGCACTTGGTAATGGTAGATTCTTTGTATAAAGTCATTAATTCATTGTTGATTCTTCTCTCCCAACTATCTTCTGTCTTCCGTCCTCCGAATACGCTTCTCAATATTTTCCTTTCCCATCTTTCCAGAGTATCCTCTTCCTTCTTATTTATTGTCCATGTCTCACCGGCATATGTTACTGTGGGTCGAATTACTGTTTTATATATTCTGAGTTTACCTTGTCTAGAAACGTATTTTGGAGTTCAGTAGGGCTCTTAAACTACCTAATTTTTTATTCCCTTTTGCTATTCTGGCTTCGAGCTTCCATTTCTCTTTTCCATTTTCATCGAAAACTACACCCAGGTATTTAAATTTGTCCACCCTTTTAAAACTATAGCTTTTACCACTTACTGACCTCACACTAAAGTCTTCTTTTTTCCCTTCTGTCCCTCCCAGGATCATATATTTGGTTTTGTCTTCATTTAGTTCCAATCCGAATTTCTGTGCTTCTTCGATGATTTTCTTCACAACTCTTTTTAATTCTTTCTCGGTTTTTGCTGGGATGGTTAGATCGTCAGCAAATGCCAAGCACTGGTGCCCATTTTTCATAATCCTTTCTTCCACCTTCATGCTGCATTTTCTGATTACAGTTTCTAACACTAAGTTGAATAATGTACTGGATAAAGGATCTCCCTGTCTCAAGCCTTTTGTAGAGTAGAAAGCCAAAATTATTGAGCTTGATAGGAAAATTGCCATTTCAAAAAGTGATGACGAAAAAGTAAAGTTAGAGAACGATATGAGAAAGCTAGAATTTGAAAAGACACTTCACTTGAAAAAGGCCGATTAGTATTATGAATAGAAGAGGCGTGCAAGAAATGAATCTAGAAAATCATTAACTGTAGAGGCTATTGCTATAGACTTCGGAAAAATCTCCCTACTTCGAATATAACTTCTGCTGAAGTGTACTTTAGAAGACAGCTGTCATTCTATATTTTTAATATTTATATTTTGTGAAATGAAATGAAATGAAATGAAAAGGGTTCAGATGACGTTGCCTTAATGCTCTATCATTTTTTTAACACCTAACTGAATCCTGCTGTTAAAAAACTTTATGTGTTTGCCGACTCTTGCGGAGGACAAAACAAAAATCACACTATACTCCAGTTCTTTCACTACGTAACTTCTACACTAAAAAGATTTGACACTGTGACAATTACTTACCAAGTGAGCGGCCATTCCTTCATGGAATCAGACAAAAACATGGGATTGATCCCCAAAAATGCAAAGACTGAAACCCCAGGTGGCTTTAGAGAGGTTATAGAATATTTCGGATATTTCACCTCGTCCCTAGTAAAAGGAGCCAGAAGGGGAAATCAAAGGTAACCGATCTTCAAGAACCCAATCAGCTCTACCAAACGCTTATACCTTTGCCCAAAGAAAAGTGTGCTGATCTAGGAGTTTTAGTGAAATTCTATAAAAAAGAAGGATTTGAAGAGTAGTACAGCCAACTTCTTTGTGCCGATTAGCCGAGTTACCATCTGAGCCCAATAATGTTCCCGAAAATCATAGCGAATTTTAAAATCAAATTAGATCAGCGCGCAATTCTGCGTTTAATATTGTGTCGCCCCCTATAAAACGGTAAAATCGGTGGTAAATAAATTAAAAATAGTCATTTTTTGTGTAAAATTTTCCGTAGAATTGAAATTTGTTGTCAAAAAATCTCTAAAAGTTATTTGGAAGCTGAAAAACGAAGGAAAAGCGCTAAAAAAGTAGGAAAAATCGCGTTTTTTGAACTTTTATAGGGCGCAGCGGCTTCAAACATATAAAAAGGATTTCTGAGACACATATTATTCGAAAGTACTTATATTAGGGCGTCTTTTGTAAAAATTAACAAAAAAATTAAAGAGGGTGTTTTTAAGATATGAATTTTTCAAAAAAAGCGCTTTGTTTCGCATTTTGTGGCTTTACATGACTTCATATGACAATTCTGACACCGGGATCGTATTCAGCGGGAAATTTTAGATTGAAAAACATATAGTGGATATTTGTTTATGCATATTTAGCTTGCTGTACTAAAAAAATCGGCGAAATACAAAAAAAAATTGATAAAAAGCGTGAAACTTCAATAGCGCACCACGGCCGCCATTTTGAACATTAAGGTCTGAAAATTTGACAATCATGTTTTTTTGTCTAGTACAACATGTGTGTAAAATTTTAGCCAAATCGGAGAGGGTGACCCACCGACTTGTGTCGATTATTGCTGGAATTACCCCTTTGAAACACCCTGTATAATACATTACAATAGAATACGTTATAAAAAGAAAACATTTAGGGAAAATAAGACATAGTTTTTAAAAAATAATTTTGTATAAATTTTAACATAATACAGTCTAATATGTATTGTTAATTGTATTTTAAATATAAATATTATAATACACTTACCGACAATGGTGGCAAAAATAAGAACTCCCGCCAAGAAATCCGCAACAACGAACAAATACTCGGCGTCGTTTTCAGGCACTGGGGTTTCACCGATAGTAGTCAGAGTCAATGTCGACCAATAGAAACTATAAATATATTGTCTAGTGAGAGAAGCATTTTGTGTTCCATTCAAATTGTACACCCAGTTATCAGACCCGAAGCCGATAAAATAACTAATAGCAAAATACAAACAAGCGTTCCAATGTATTAACACTAAAATAGCGAGCACCACTTTGCATATTCTAAAAACGTTTGGATAGTTAGTGTCGGTTTCTGTTCTTTCGAACCACTCCCACAAACGGGGTAATTTAAATAATCTATTTAGTCTAACTATCACCGGGCACGGCACTGTTAAATCGCATTCGAATGGTGGCCACCAGATATACGCCAGATCCGTGGGCAGCACGCACAAGATGTCCGTCCTCCAGGACTTTGATTGAAGGTAGTGCGCTCGCAGCTTCTGCGGATCTGTCACGAGAAGACCTTGTTCCAAATAGCCTGCAAAGAGAAAAATAATTTTATTGGAGTCGTTGATGCAAATAAGGGCTTAGAGACAAAAAGCAATTAATTCTGTGCTTCGAAACGATTCAATTTAATATAGGGTTTTTCTCAACAAAAATAAGCGATGATTGATTGAAATATTATTTAAACTAGATTTTCTAAACAAAATAACAATTGTAGATGAATAAATTTAACATATAAAAGTTAATAAAAAGTCAAATCTACAAAATATTATGTTAATTTAATGCTTAAATATGACATGAGTATGTTTTTTCTATTAAAAATTCATAAAGCATGTTTTCTTGGTTAGTTTTTCTATTTTATTTTTTCTTCATTTGTATTTTCTCTTCGTTTATGATATTTGCTAACATATTTCTTATGTATATTTAAAATAAAAATTTGTACTTTTAATAACTATATTAAAAAAGTATTACAGGGGCTTAACGTAAGTAAGATATGCAATACAATGCGTGAGGAAGGAATAATCGCAATGAGAGTAAATATTCATATTTTGTGCCATAGTAGAAATATCAGATGTTGTCGATGACTATGGTAAAACCTTCACGTTCTTTTGCCATATAAAAAAGTTGTCATGCGTTTATAATTCGGTCCAATCTCGAATGAATGTACCTACCAGCAGCTAGATTTCTGCCTAACATTTTCGACCTTTATAGAAACAGAAGTATACGCAAGACTAAAAAGCAGCTGCAATATTTCATCTCTATCCTCTCAATATACGCCCCAAATATTATACTTTCCTATATTTTATAGTCTTTCATAACACTCTATTCTTGTTGACCTTCATCACGTTCCAAGACTTTCCTTGACCTTTTATCTCGATCATAATTGGACAACTTTCTGCAGAAAAGAACTAACCCACAAAATAATTTTTTTTGCTTTATTCATGATACCGCTTTGAATAGTTGTTAATAATTATATGCAGAATGGAACCAGCCCACATTAAGTGCATGCTGCCATCTATCAGGTAGTGAACCAATCCATATTACTTCAGTACTTAATGAAGTAATGTGCAGAAAAGATCCAAGTGGGTTGGTTCCATTCTGCCAAACTTGGGAATCACATAGCATAAAATACATCAGGATTTGATTCCTTTCTTCAATGACGAATACTTTTGTTTGTCACGCGATAAGGCTAAGACTAAATGTTTGTGTTATAAAGTAGTAAAAATATTGCAAATTATTAATTATTAACAATTATTGGGTGGTAAAACATTTCTTAAACAATGAGTTATAGATCCTCCAGTGGACAACATATACTAAATTTGGTTATAAATGTTTCAAAAGCAAAAAATGAGGTTAGCTTGGTCACGACTATTTATATTAGCATTTAACTGACTTTTTTTAATTAGATGGAATCTTCAAACAATGATCAAGATAATAAGTATGATGGCTATGATTCCGACGTAGATCCAGAATTTAGATTAGAGGATGAATATCAAACTAATACAAGACACAATGAAGAAGATTATCAGGAAGGTGATGTAACTTCGGAAATAGAAAAGAAGTTCTAGAACAGGTAATAAAATCTAGCCTAGTCAATACAGGTAGGCCAATAAAGGGACGAAAACGAAAATATCTTGGTTTAACAAGAGAAGAAAATAAGCGACAGGAAATTTTAAAAAATGTTCATTATAAGTATAAAGGTAAAACTGTTAAGAAAAAAATTCAAAGATTTTAATTGCTTTTGTAAGATGAGTTGCTACGTTAAAGTACCAACAAATGTTAGAGAAGAACAATTTAACAAGTATTGAGAGTTGGGAGATTACAATGCTCAAACAGCCTTCATTGGGGCGTTGGTTACCCGGAAATGATACTAAAACTAATGTATAATAAATACAAAGAAGATAATAATAATCCTGTTAGCTTTGTCGTGTACAGACGTACCTTCATGTACGAGTTTAATTTAAAATTTAAGAGTCTCAAAAAAGGCACCTGTAACACCTGCGATTCTATCAGGCAAAAATAGATAGCACTTAAGATAATGAGGTAAAAGTAATGTTAGTAAATGAACATGATACCCATATCAAAAATTGGCAAGAAGCCAGGGCAAAAATGAAACAAGATTTGGATACTGCGACTAACAATAAAAAAGTAAAAAGTTTAATATTCGACTTGGAAAAAGCTTTGCCCCTTTCACGCCTACCAACTGGAATTTTATTTTATAAAAGGCACATTTGGCTATATAACTTGGGAATTTACTTTAGAAAGAGTAAAAAGTAATCGTGCAATTTATGAATGGAAAATTATGCTGGTCGTGGATCCCAAAAGTAGATCATGTCTTTTAAAATATATTAAAAATCATGTATCTAACTATGTAGATGAACAAATTTTATGGTCTGATTCGTGTGGGGGCCAAAATAGGAATATAAAATTAACTCTCATGATGAAAGCTGCACTTGAAACTCATGCCTCACTTAATAAGATTTATATCCGGTTCCTCATATTGGGGCATAGTTTCTTACCTAACAATGTCAATTTTTTAGACATAGAGTCTGCGCTCAAACATCAATATTACATAACTGTAATAAAAAATTGCAGAAATAGAAACAAATTTGATGTCGTTAGAATGACTTCTTCTGATTGTTTTGGTGCAGCAGAAGCAGAAAAACAAATCTGTAATAGAAAGTTGACATGAGCAAAGAAAAAATTAATTGGTTAAAAGCCAGGGAAATAATGCTAGATAAATCAAAACCATTTTATATATTTATGAAAACAAGCTTTGGAGATGAAAATTATTCTGTAAGTTTACATTGGTAAAAAATATGGAAGGTCAGCAGTAACCAATAATGATTTCAGCCATTTTCTCACAAAAATGTGACCCAACGGGAAGCCTATTTCTCTTCCAAAATTAGAGGACATAAAATCTGTAATGCATTTAATACCAGGTAATCCACAAGAATATTATAAACGTTTAACTGGAGACTCTGAAATTATTGAAGATATTGAGGGATTTAGCGGCCGTCCTGATGAACTTAATGACCTTGAAGATGACACCATGACACATTAGCAGTTTTGAGAATATATATTTTTTGTAGTTTAGTTTTTACTTTTATAATACACTTTTATACATTTATATGCATAGCTGCACTATTATTTTAACACTAATATTTTGATGAAACATAATTCTAATGTATTAACCCACTTACGAACTTTCGTTAAATAAATTTAAATGAGCTACAATTTTTTTTTGGCGCAGAAACTCAGCTTATGCTATTTGTGGGTTGGCCTCTTTCTGCAGAATGTCGTCCAATTGATCTTCACTAATCCAAGTTTGTGCTGGACATCCTTTCTTTTCTTGAGGATTCTACTCTATACATTTTTTGACTAAGACGTGTAGACTGTCTATAAGGGTCTTTTTCACCTTCCAAGTTTCACATTAATAGAATTGAACAGACTTACGTTCGACTAATATATTCAGATCTTTGATTTTGTTGTATAATCGCAGATCTCGAATAGGCTGAGTATGCTAAATGCTTGTTGAGCTTTTCGTACTCTCATAGAATATTGTCTTGTCGTACCATGTCTCCGCTTCCTGTTATAATACTTACTTCTTCTTTGGGTGCCGTACGATATGCAGCGTGTAAACTGAACGTTTACTGAACGGCTATCGTACATTCGACAACCAGCATGAACATCATTTTGTAGTTGAATATTTCTATAATCAAAATTTCGAATTAGCCATAGACTCATCCTTATCTCCATTATTAGTTAATATATTTATGAAAGATTTTGAACACAACATTGTACACAAACAAAGCAAAAAACCCATAGTATGGTGGAGATCTGTAAATGATGTGTTTTATATTTGGCCTTACAGACCAGAAGTATTGAAGTAATTTCTCATGGATATCAACAAAGAAGAATCAATCAAATTTACCATGAACCAAGAAAATAATAATTCACTTTCTTTTCTAGATATGCTAATCACAAAAAAAGACAAAAGATACACAAGAAAACAAAGTCTACAGAAAATTAACCCACACCAACAGATATTTAAATAACTACTACAGCCACAACGAAAACATCAAAAAAGGAATTATTCAATCCCTATATGATAGAGCACCAAGCACCTGCTATAATGTTAATTCATTTCAGGTGAAAAAAACTTGCTAACAAAAGTTTTGTTTAAAAATAACTACTTATTGTGATTTATAAACAAGAAATTACACAAGATTGAAGAAAGAAAATAACAAAACACTGTAAGTAATCTAGAAACATGCACAAGAAGAGACTCAAAGATGACAACAGTACCATGTGCAAAGAGCTTATCAGAAACAACTAAAGAGGATAGGAAAACACACTGAAATTTATTCTGTCCAAAACCAAACCCAAAAACACAAAAGAAAGATAAAAAACTGCATCCATAAAATACTCTGATAGATAGATAGATAGGTTTAAAGGTGATCTTCTGGCCTATTCCACTGTGACCTTTTTAGATCTATTGTAGTCCTCTAGTCTTAGATAACATACTCTAGCCTGACCCTTTTTAAAAAGTCAGCTTCGAGCCTGTACCTTTCATGTAGCTTTTTTGTCGGTGGATTTTCTTCTCCTAATGCAAAGAACCGTGTATCTGCCAGATTGTCACACTGACATAGAATGTGCTCTGCTGTATCTTGTTCGAGGTGACAGAATCTACACAGGTCATCATCTGATAATTTCATCAGCTTCAAGTGCCTATTCAGCTTACAGTGCTTTGTTGGAAGACCTACTATGGCTTTGACTGTTTTCCTATCTTTGCTTATTAGGTCTGCCGTAAATTTTGGCGAATGTTCTATAATAAACTGTTTTGCCTGTCTTTGTGCTGGTGAATTCTTCCACCATTGCAGAAATTTGTGAGCTACCTAGTTCCTTGTAGCCGTTCTTGTTACTGTCCTTGCAATACCGCAGAAAAATTCCGGATTAATGAATGGCATTTATGAGCCTTGTTTGGCCATTTTATCTGCTTTTTCATTGCTTTTTGACCCTCGTACCCCGGAC